TGCCTGTAGATATTTACTATTTATTTATTTGATTGCTCCTATAAATGATGTGGGCATAATAGATTATCTAGAAATGTTAGATCAGTGAGTAAGGACTCATCAGCTGTTTTAAAACCTTTTAGCCTTTGAAAAAAGTATGGCAATCAAATAAATACTTTAGGGAATTCAGATTCCCTATTGACACATACCTAGTCAGAAAAGAGAAAGTAAAGCTAAACTAAATATATAACCCAGATTCATCATTAATTAATAATTTGTGAATATTTTCTTAATTGTTGAATATTTATGCTATCATAATTCAGTGTCTACAAAGTATTACCAAGTATTCTAAAGAAATCCTTAGAAATTTGCCTACCTATTAAAGGAATATTTTCTCCTGAAAACATTTTTTTCTTAACAGCTGTATAATTTCTTTTTGTGTTTCTCTCTAGAAAGACTATAACTGTGTTAGTTCACATGAAATGTAACTTTTAAAAAAATTTTAAAGTATTATTATGCATATATGCTTAGAGAGAATTTATTAGACGTTTTGGAAATTAGCATGAATTTTTCAAAATAAATTAGCAGAGTATGCCCATGATGGCTGCAACCTCTGTTAATGATAACTGATGGTGAAGTTGTCTTTCCACAGACTGGCCCTCATACACAGTGGTTTCTTAGCTATGTTTGAGTTTCTTGTCTGCTTTCCTGGAAGGTCCCAAATAAACTGTGAACAACTTAATAGAAGAAGAGTTCTCCTGGTGATGTTCTGCACAGAGCAAATTCCATGTTTATTTATTTACTTATTTACCCAGTGCCAAAAGCTGTTCTAAGAGATTCACACGGATGAATTCATTCTGTCCTCAAACAACCTTAATAGGCAGCATCTGTTCTTAGCTCCATCTCTAGATGAGACAGACGAGCTTGGAAATCTCACCCCACTTTCCAGGGTCACATATTTTTTAGGTGGAATGCAGGCTGTCAGGATCTGATGTCTTTGGCACAGGCCCTTCATGACACTATGTCATCAGAGTCACTAAGAACACAGTCATGGCTGGGAGCCTGCTCAGTGGGTATGCTTCAGAGCGCCAGTGACCCAGCTCTTAACCTTGGGGGCCCAGCTCTTCACCTCGAGGAGTGCCTTCATTCACCGGTGCTTCATTCCATCCTCACCTGAAACACTACAATGTTCACCAACTCTGCAGTCTTTGGTCAAGTCAGCACAAGATGGTCTGTGTCAGTTAGCAGCTCAACCTCCAATATCCACTTTTGGGGAACAGATGAACAGCTACTGACCTGGACACCCTATGCTGACCCTAAAGCTAGATGACTAGATGTGTTAAGGAACTCGTTATTGTATATTTCCATGTGTGTTTATCAAGGTCCTCAATGAAATATTAGCCATGTGTAAATTAGAAACCACCAGCTGGAAAGAAAAGGGGCTGTAGTCAATGAGACTGAACCCACGGTTGAGCTCTCTGATGGGTGGGAAGCTACGCCTAGTGGACAAAGAGCAGATAACTGACAACTGTCAATGCAGTGACAACAGCAGTAAAAGAATTTAAAAACCTGGCTACAGGAGGGCTCCATCTTTTATCATCCAGAGCCCCAAGCACTTGACCATCCCAGAAAAGAAGACAGTAGCCTACAAGCTCCTCCATAAGTACTAAGAACTGATGCTAACTTTTGGATAACTCTCCCGATTGACTGGATGTAGTTAGAGATCCAGTCAATCAGGACCCAGGTGGTCCTCAACAAATGTTGGCATCCTCCTGCTTCCACACACACTTTGAGCATGGAATTCAGAATTCCATAGACAATGAAGACACAAAGACTTCAGAGCCTGACTCTCAGGGGTAACCAAGGCAGCCTTCTAAAACTGCAACCACAAGATTCACTAGAGACTCCCTGGCTGTCTGCATCTCAGACTTCTGTCCCATCAGATAGCTGGCTGCAACCAGCCTCCAAGACTCTACCATTGACCACAGGCAGAGGGCCCCATTCCTCCCTCAGCCTCTAAGACTCTTCTGGACTCTGGGAATTCATTCCTGTAGCTGTCCTAAGCTCCTGCTCCAGAGACCTTTGGCTCCAGACCTTAAGATCTGCTACTTCTAACTTACAGGCTTGCTCTAATTGCTCTGTCACCCCCAAAATTCCCAAGAGCTTTGAGCTATAACTCTTCCTGGAGCCGTGACACCTTTCAGGGCTCTAATGGTTCTCAACTAGCATTCCACAGCTACAGGGAGTGCAAACCTGTTCCATTTGAAATCCTCTGTGGCAATCTGTTGTAAGTCATTTTGCACCTTTAAAGGCTGCTAATTTTGAGTTGACAATGAAGTACCTCCCTACTTCCAGTTTGTCATCTTTTTCTATCTGCCCCTTGGAGGAAAGGCAGATAAGACTAGGGTCAGAGAACGACAGTCTCTACCCACTGATTGTTTTATTGTTATCGTATATCTGACATCAAGGCAGGAGATGAGGACAGAACTCCTGGGCCTGGAACTCAGTGGGTGCTCAGAAATATGATCTGTGCCTCTCCTTGCAATCTTAGGCCATCTTATCTTTATCACAAAGATGCAAACAAAAGAGGCATAAATCTATTATGGTCAGGCTTTACTATTCCCCAGTGATGCTTACAAAGTAAACAATGATTGAAAGATTTTGGACATACCATTTGTTCATCCTTTAAGCTAATTATTTTCTCAGAATGAAATACTATGAGAAAGTCCTATAAAAAGTACATGGTTTTCTAAGTAGTCTGTGCTAGATACCGTGTTCTGTACTTGAAATACAGATACCAGTGCACAAAGCAGACAAAAATTTCAATGACAGATACTTGTGCAAACCTTGCAACCTGAGTTTGACCCCTGCATCCCATATAAAAGTGGAAGAGAGAAGTAACTATACAAAGATTTCCTCTGACCTCCACATATGCACCATGGCACATACCACCCCCCATCTTGTACACATACAGAATAGTTAAAAAAAATTGAAATAGTACTTTCAATAATCATAGTCTGTTCAGGTATTCGGTCTTTATTGTGATGTTATTGTATGCCTAACACCTGGGGTGAATAAAATAATAAATAGAATAAGTCCCTAAGTCAATAGAGTAAAAAAAGGTGTTAAGAAGTATGTTCAGCCACCAAGACACAGTTTTCCCCCAAAGCAATATAGGCTACTGCCATCGCTCTTGATATCCCACCACAACTTGGTGGTAAGACTCTATTTTTGAATACCACACATGTTGGTCATAGGACATAAAAAGTCCTATGATACCCAAGTTATTGCTAACCAAGGAGTTTTCTCCCTGCTGGGTATCTTTCACAGTCTGTAGACTGCCAGGGGGGTAAAAAAAAAAAAAAGGCATCAACATTCTTACCTAGATATGAACCTTTCTAACTACAAAAGTCTCTGGAGTTGCAACATCGGTGTAGTAGTGGCATGAATGTTATAGGGGTAACTAAACTCTTTATGAATGTATTTAAGGCCTCCTCCATGGAGGAAACACATGCCTCGTTCTACAAATCTGGTCAAGAACCCCTTGTTGGGAAGCTCATAAGCCCTGGGTAAACTTACTACTATGATTCTGATAAATGGACAGAGTATCAAACTGCCCTCTAAATTTGTATTTCTCTACCTATAGATTAATGCAGCTCTCAGACCTCATCAGGGAAGTTTCTTTGTGCAGTGGATGGTGGTTAATGCAGAAACTCACAACTGGTCAGATGAAAGAGGATAAGTAACAGTGAAGTGCTCAGCCACATCTGTACCTTCACCATACACAAAGCTCAGGGACTATTATGGAAGAAGGGGAGGACCAGAGCAAAGTAGTATCTTCTGGAAGTGACAGAACCACTGGACTCATGGACTTAGCACCTGTGGTTGCCTGCACAGGATCTGTACAGGATCAAGTCAATAAACATTCTAGCATGGAGGAAATGGGTTCATGAGCCTCTACCCGTAACTGAGGAGCTATGTCTTCTCTAGGAGGGAGAGTCTGTTTTCTTTAAGAATGTAGTCCCTGGTAGGCTGACCTCACGACAGTGGATGGTCCCACACCCAGTGTATATGGGCAGCATAAATTGGACTCCATCAGTTGGCACATGCCTTTAATCCCAGCACTCGGGAGGAAGAGGCAGGTGGATCTATGTGAGTTCCAGGACAGCTGAGGCTACAGGGAGACCGTCTCAAAAAGACCAAAAAGTAAGAAAATGAAAAAATAAACATAAATAAAAGGACAGGAAGTTTGTGGAGGTAAAGAGGTGGTGGTGGATCTGAGAGGAGTTGGGGGAGTAGTGCAGGTTGAATATAATCCAAAAAAATTGTATACGTTTATGGAAGAATTAATAAAAATATTTTTAAAGATACAATGTTTTTGGAAGCCTGAAACCTTGAAGACGACTATATGAGATTACTCTAAGTCTGCACATGACTTCCGCGGTTGCTGGGAAGCGACCTACATAGTTCTGCTGTGCTAGGAACAGTGCCTGAAGGGATGCAGGCTTCCTCCACTACCAGGAGAGGTTCCATTGGGCCCAGACTTGGACCTGGGAAAATAGTTTTACATAAAAAACAAAAATGTATTTAAAGTGCTTATACATTCCCTCTCATCTTCTCCCAGCCACATTTTAATCATTGCAGACCTTGAAGCAACAAGGCCAGAAACATGCTTCCTAGGCTGGTCCCCTTGCAGCCTCTGACTTCCTCTAACTCAGCACTTTACTTTCAAAATCTGCATTTTCACCTTAGCTCTTTAATCGACTAGGTGTTGAGTTTTGCATTTGTTGATTGGTTTTAAGTTAAACCTATGTCTGTGGCAATATTAAGAAATGGCAGCACCTGTGTGACTGACTTATAGTTAAGTCTCCTTATTACATATTTGAGAATCCAAATACCCACCAACTTGAAATCATTACTGAGTTTCTCTAATTCTGTGCAAGTAGACTTAGAATACCCCCACCATAAGTCAATATATAATAGATGTATAGTTCTACCCACATTTTTTATTTCCCTCTCAGGTTTGGTGATGGTTATATAGTCAAAATTTGGCTATATAAAGAAGCTAGTCAGCCAGCTGCTATTTCTGACTGCCTGAAGCTCCATTTTCCAGGAATCCAGTTTAAGGTATGTGGTGTGACTTTTCCAGGCTAAACCTGAGTAAATATCTTTCCACCCTAGAGAGTACACATACCAAAGGAGCGCTTCCACTTATGTCTAGCTTAGTGAAGTAGTGAGTCTATCAGGTTACTAACAGGAGTGTGGGTGACTGGAAGACAATTGCAACAATGTAAAGTCAACCTCAGCATGGGTGACAGTTGCATCCCTGGAGCTGAATGCATGGTATGCAGGGAGTTCCAGTGGAGAGAGTCTCCTTCTTCCAGAAATTACTTGCTGCTTTTATCACCTTGGAGAGGATCTTTTTGAATTTTGTAACTTTCTTGGCTTCCTGAGCTTGGTTAAATTCCTAAGATTTTGTCTAATGAATCCATCCTTTCTCCAGGAGGGTTTTTTCAAGTCCAATGTAATAGCTACCCAGAGCAGTAGTTCTAATAGTTCATATAATACTGCTTTTAGTAGAAATCATATTCTAAGTGTATTGCCATTTTTCTATTTAATTCCATACTATCAAAGATAGAACCTGTTGTCTTTTCACCTCTTTGTGAATTTTTGGTCATGTCTCCCTACTATCGCATGGATGGGCTAGACAGATGGCTCAGGGGTTAAGAGCACTTTCTGCTCTTGTAGAGGACCAAGGTTCTGTTCCCTAGACCTACGCTGTGGTTAATAATCCTCTGTAACTCCAGTTCCAGGGGATCCAACATCCTCTTGCCTCTGTGAGCACCCGGCATGCATGTGGTACACATAGATACATGCAGGCTAAACACTCATATGACATCAGATGAAATTCAATACATCTTAAACAAATAGCATGAGTGGCTGACATTACTTGATGACTCTGAAGGATGGAAGATATGCTTGGTCAGTGGGTGGACTGCGCAAAGTAGACTATGATTACACACGTTCCCTCTTATTGCTGCATAACTCATTTTGTTCAGGTTGGAAGAGTGTGGAAATTAGTTTTTTTTTTAGGTATTTGCTGAAAGGATTATAAGCTTGGTAGTTTACACATTATTTAAGAAGAACCAAATGTTTGGAGTCATAATCTTCTTCAAACTTGATGAGTATATGTGGTATGTAGGCCAACAGCATCATCAATACTGAGATCTTGCAAACACACAGAATGGCAGGCTGTAATCTACTGAATCTGAATTGGCATTATGCCAAGGTAACTAGGTTGTTTTGACATGAAAGTGATTTGGAAGCACTGCCTCCCTCCTTCCCTTTCCCTCTCTCTCTCTCTCTTTCTTTCTTTCTTTCTTTCTTTCTTTCTTTCTCCTCTCTCTCTCTCTCTCTTTCTTTCTTTCTTTCTTTCTTTCTTTCTTTCTTTCTTTCTTTCTTTCTTTCTTTCTTTTTTCTGTGAGGCACCTTCTTGCTTCATAGCCTGTCAAGTCTTTAACTCACCATATAGCCCAGGTTGGTAATGAACTTGCCCCAGTCATCTTGCCACAGCCTCCCAAACACTGGGTTTACAGGTGTGGGTGACTATACCTGGCCTATAATTCGTGTAGATATTTCTTATTTATCATAAATTATAGCAGGCAATAGTCCATAAATAGCTATGCTTTATTCATTTTTAACAAATAATCTACACAACACTCTCATTTGTGCTTCAGTACCACACTGAGGGCCACAGTCAATATGTCCTTCTCTCCATCAGCACACATGAAAACAAGAGTCAAAGGGATGGGTTTATTTTACCAAGAGTTGCTCAACTAATGAAAAGGACATCTGAGACCTAAGAAGCCCGTGACGCTTGTGAAATTCAGGCAACCTCCAGATATTTCTAATATGCCACATTCACTTCCTCTTTCTGGAATATCTGTAGGCAATGTTTGATCCTTTAAGGTTCACACTGGGCTTATAGCACAGTGGATGCACATTAAGAGCAGAACAGCATCTCAGTCCAAGTGAATGCCATGTATCATATATACCTCAGCATTAATCGTCAGCAATAAGCTTTTATTGAGACTCAGAAAGTTAACCTATACACTTCACTGTTACTCGCATGCATGGTTGGGAAATCATGTTCAAACTAATTTGGCAATGAAATGTAGTATCATTAAGCTGGTTCAACAATTTCTGATGATTGTGATGCCACACATTTTCTGACTTTTAGGGACAGCACCTTAATGTATTGGAATACCATGTGCAAAAGAGTTGGGAATGCTTGGCTGACCTGTTCAAAGTTCTAGAGAACAACAAGAGCCTCCTGAATATCAAGCATTACTCCATCAGCCAGACCACTCTGGAGCAGGTACTGTGCCTCAGCAATGCAGGATGCTGCTCTTGGGATGTCGTTATGGGCCTCATCCAGCAGGTTTTAAAATTAGTTACATGGCTTCTTAAGTTTGCTGTTTCTTTTAATTAAGCGTGTTCAGTTCTGCAAGTTTCTAATGAGGATGGTAAGCACTGGGAGGTTTGACAGCACACGCACTTCATTCAAGGTGCAGCGTGTCAATTTGTTCATAACTGCACTGGACATGAAATGAATTCAGTCCTGTTTATCAAACTTCCCTTCCACACCTTAATACTGAAAGGACTGATTAAATTCTGCAGAAGTTGAATGATAGCTGATTTGGGGGAAAATACATAGTGTTTGCTTTATGAAGAGCTCCAGAACTGTAAAGCTATTGAAGATGAGATACTAATGTATGGAGACTTTCCTAGTGACTCATTATCATCCCAGCTTTGACTGCTCAGTGGATTTACATGTGTATGAGGTAAAGGTAAGGATGGTGTCAAGGCATTATGCCTACATTTTATGGCTCGTTGGACAATATCTGAGCAATGGCTCCCTTTCTAGTAGTAAAGATAAGAAGGTCCAGTGGTCTTAGAAGCTAGTGACTATTTTCCTTATTTCTTTCAGGTTTTTGTTAATTTTGCTACTGAGCAGCAGCGAACTCCACACTCCCCTCTTGATCCATCCACGGATGGTTACCATCTGTAACATTCACCCACCTAGCCACTGAAGACTGTCTGTCATCACAGTGAATCAAGGACATTCAAAGGCACAACTGAGGAACAGAAGGACACACTCCACACAGTCACATATTCTCTCCTTTCACAGTCTGTTAAAAACACCTTGCTCATTAATAGTCAACAAACTGAAAGGCCATTCTCTTCAGTTGACTTTTGGAGAGATTTCCCTCTCTGCCAAGTCAGATGGGTACGAGGTTCTCTATGGATAAAGCAGGCATGAACTGACAGAGTGAACTGGCCACCCAAGACAAAACACAGCATGTTCCCTTTAAGTAAACTGAGTTTCTAGCTTATTTGGGGAGGAAACAGTATCAAGGACGGCTTTCTATTTTTTTCACATTTTAAAATACAAATTTAGTATTTAAATGCAAACTTTTCATAAACTAAATGACAATATGGTATGACATGGAAAAGTGTCATTTTTTGTATGCAATATATGCTTTAAAATGGGAGTCAGAGACCTTTGTTATGGCAACCCATCAGCAAAATTTAAGTCATTTATCATTTATAAGTCTTACTAGAATCTCACAGACTAATTTTGGGGTGGTATAGAACAAAGGTGGATTTTTTTGTTAATTTGAATGAATAATTGCTGTTTTTCTTATTGTAAGACAGTTGTTTTGAAGTATGAAGAGTTCCTGTTGCAAGAATTGGCTTCACCCAGAGCTGGGTAGAAACACACTTTCTCATATTCCATCTCAGAACAAAAAAATCTCATCCTTGGGCTGCAGCCCAACATTTTGGGTTTAAACATGCATAATTCAGGTTGACAGCCAGTGGCCCCAGGCAATGTCTAGTCCCCTTCTAGCTATGAATGTAATGTCAGCACAGTATATAGTTACTGAACACTGAATTTTAAATATTTCTCAAGTTTTCTAAAAAATGTCACTCTCAGAATTGCTGCCTTCAAAGATATGATTCCCAACGTTTCTATTAAAATAATGCTTTATGGGAATTGGAAAGATGGGTCAGAGGTTAAGGGCACTGGCTGCTCTTGCCGAGGATCTGGGTTCAATTCCCAGCACCCACATGGTGGGTGACAACCATCTGTAATTCCAGTTCCAGGGAATCTGACACCCTCCTCTGACCTCTGTGGGCATTGCACAACACAAGTGCACCTACTGACATGCGGGCAATACACTCACACACATAAAAATAAAAAAGTGGCGCACACCTTTAATCCCAGCATTCGGGAGGCAGGTGTATCTATGTGAGTTCAAGGCCAGCCTGGTCTACATAGTGAGTTCTAGGACAGCTGGGGCTACAGAGAGACACTGTCTCAAAAAGACCAAAAAACAAAAAATGTTTTATATCTTATAGTTAATAAAATGTGTAAAATCAATGTATCTACTACTGAAAATAGTTTACAATCAGATACTGCTGAACATTTTTCTAATACTATTTTTCTAAACCTCAATGGATGACCACATTAATTTCATTATAGACTCTGGCCTCCCCCAACTTTAGCATTGAATTAAAAAAATATTCTGATAGAAGAAAAACACTTCTTTGTTACATTTCTTTTCTAGACCAGCATTTCATTAAATCTGCCTTTCTTGAATATCATTTTATATCAGAGATATTTTAATAATGATTAAGCCAGTCATGGGCAGCTTTGATGTAAGTGGTTTTGATTTTCATGTATCACATGAATTATGCTTTCTGCAAAGAAGTAACAATTTAGGATTTTATGACTTTAATTTCCTACAATTCTGACATAGTTCTTTGTGGAAATGAAAGACAATCTTTTTGTCATTAAGTCAATAAACACCAATCTATGAAGCATGAATATATTTATACTGTGGTGAATAAATGAGATGTGTCATGACTTAACCTGGTTCTTGGAAAATAATTGTGTTTGTGCCAGTGTACTTCTCTGCATCTTTGTGTCTTTGGGGATCCAATTTAATTTGGACAAGGAGGAAATGGAACAACTCCACATCTTTTAAAGTTTGAAAGGTTAAAATTTAATTGAATTTTGCTCTGCGATGTTCTCCTCTTAGGGGTTCTTTCCTGTCTTTGAACTGCTATATTCTTGAAGTTTATGCTTCAAGGTATGCCTTTGAACAGTAAACAGTAAGAAAGAGAACCCCACATGCTGAAGTAGCACATCCCAGAAGACTGGACACAAAGGTCAAGTATTATGCTAATGTTGAAAATGTCAGTGCCTTTAGAAGTCATGTGAATGTTTTATGCCTTTGCAGTTAAACATTTGTTTTAAGACTTTTGAGCTGAAGGTCACACAACTGAGACTTTTAAACAAACTGCCTTCTTTGGAAATTATTCTGAGTAGACTTTATAAGGCAGAGTAACAATGGAATTTCTAGGTCCTGTAATGTAGCACTTATACCTTAGCTTCACTTAAACATGGTATATTGAAATCCCATATGCAAAATGATTGTTAAGTATTGGATGGGAAGTACATTTTTAGAACAGCTAATATTCGATGGCTTAAGGTTATGGTTAGCTTTGCTTACTGGATATAAAATTGAGAAATAGTACAACTTGATCACTTCAGTGCATTTCAAAAACACATGTATCACATGCCCCCATGCTCGATATTGGTGTTTATGAAACTAACAGAATCCCATCGCAGATTTGCCCATCCCAATGAGAGATAGTAATGCTTCAAAGTTTGAAATTGATTTGACCATGCATCTTTTTTTCAGTATAACTTAGTTGTACACACTTGAATATTTTAGAGCCCTTTCATATATACACATCAACACACATGCTCATACACAGCCAATCCCACGCATTTATTTCCTACACATTCATTCCTTTAAATAATATTCTCTGGGCCAATTCTATGTACATAACTAGACTCAGGTACTACAAACAAGGGGCTGGTGGAATAACAGGGAAATGCCACAGCTCTATCCTTGAGCACACAAGCAGATAGTGATGACGGGGTGAGGTCAAGAGCAGTGATCGCTACCTGCTGTGGGCTACAGAGTGATCCAGTCTGAGAGTGTGGGCACAGACATGGTGCTGTCTGTTGGAATTTCCAGATGGAGAATGGGGAGAGGGGGTGTTCAAAGCTAAAAGAATATTGGAAAATACCAATAATATCTAATGGGCAGTGGGTTTTTGCTTATTACTTTGGGAGAAGTTAAGACAGTGAGAGTCTGTAATTGTCAAGAACTTATTGACTTCCCAAGATGTTCACTAGATCTTTAGCGTCTTAATGTTAAATGGGTTGGTGGGAGAGGAGGGCTATGGGCAACAAAAGGGAGTAGAAAATAGGAGAGGAAAAATGGAAGAAGTGGAGAGAAGAGGGGAGAGGTTAGACTAAGGGCAAAAGCCCCACAGCTCTTTCAAGAGCTGTCATGTGATCTAACCCATTTACACTATCCATATTTGTGTGGCCATAACTAACTACAGGAGTGTTTGAATGGTGCAGGCTTTATCCTGGCTTCTGAACACCCAAAGGTAAAATTGATTCTGTATAAGAAGAACTTAATAGATAATAATAGCCAGCCTGCAGTCTCTGCCACAGGATGGAGATAGAGGCATTGTGGTCACTTTGCATCGGAACAGGATAGGTTGCTTTGGACCTGTTGAGAAATACCAAATTATGTGACTATCTTTGTGACTGCCTAGGCTGTATGAATATTTTCATGATTAAAGTTGTGTGTTCAAGCTGGGCATGCTGGCAAATGCCTTTAGTCCTGGCACTCTGGAGGTAGAGGCAAGTGAATCTCTGTCTCAAAAATAAATAAATAGGACTGGAGAGATGGTTCAGCGGTTAAGAACACTAACTGTTCTTGCAGAAGACCCTGGTTCCAATCCCCGCACCCACATGGCAGCTAACAACTGTCCATAACTCCAGTTCCAGGGGATCTGACAGCCCCTTCTGACCTCTGTGGGCATTGCACGGCATGGTTGCACTTATCGACATGCAGGCAATATACCTATACACATAAAAATAAAAATAATAAATAAAATATTAAAAAATATAAAGTGGTGTGTTCAGATTTATACAGCAGAAGCCACTTTTGTTTATAAAGATTATTGTCAAATTTAATGCACTAAAGAGAATATTTTATGGCAATAGAGATTTCCATGTGTACTTAATAAACAGTCCTGGCATTTTTACACAGAATTCCTATGGAGATCTTTCATGGATAAATGACTTCTGCTGGGAAAGACTTCCAATTGGTTGAAAGAAGTTAGAAGCACCTGCTTCAATTATTTGCTACTGTTTGTTTTCACAAGGATGGATATCACAAAGACACTTGCACATCCATGCTTACTGCAGCACTGGTCACAGTAGCCAATTATGGATTCATCCTAGGGGTCTATCAGTAGATGCATAGATAAAGAAAACTTGGTATATACATAATGAAATTTTATTCAGTCATAAAAATTGAATTATGTTATTTGAAGGAAAATAGATGCACCTTGAGATCATCCTATTAAGTGAAATAAGCCAGATTCATAGACACCGGGTTTTCTCTCACTTTTATATCTAGACTTTATATAGATTATTTAAATATATACAAATATACACATAGATATATAGATATAGATAGATATAGATATAGATATGAGCACATATATGATATAAAAGCAGAAGAAAATAGGGAAGGAGACTTTCAGAGGGTGGTAAAGAGGGATAGAAAGGGGAGGGTATGGGGTTAACATGCTGATAGTACATGTTATTCTTAAAAGAAATTGTCTTTATGAAGGCAAACGCTATGTAAGATGAGTATATGTCCCCCCAAACCATATTCCACTATCTTATAAATGGACCAATCTCCCTTTTTCTTTACAGTGAAATGTTTTGAGGAGCTGGGTGCAGTGACACAGACCTTTAATTCCAGCAATCAGTAGGTAGACGTAGGTGACTCTCTGTGAGATTAAGGCCAGCCTGGTTTACATAATGAGTTCCTGGCCAGCTAGGGTTGCATGGAGACCCTCTCTAAAATAAATTTACAAAAAAAAAGAAATTTCTTTAAGAAAAATGGGATCCACCAAGTTAAATGTAACTAGAAAAAAATTTAAACCTAGAAAAAATATTACTGCTTAACTAACATGTCTTTAAAAATATGTGGCATGCAGAACATCTTCTAGTACACTGAATGCTAGGCAGTGGAAATAAGCCTCTGAGGTCAGCACCACTGTGAATTCTCCTTGTTATTCTGCAGCTCATGTCTGTAGGGTGTTTGGCAATAGGGTCTTACTGTCTGTGAAGTTCTGGTTGGTAACCAACACCAGGGGCAGTGACCAGTATTGTCTGAGGGTCCATAGGACCACACCCTCTGGTCAACAGGTTCTAGAGAGGGAGTCCGTTCCTGGCATTGAGGTTTTTATTCATTAGCTTGTGATGTCTAGAAGGGACAATGTCCTCCTGTTGTAGGGTAATTCCTTTTAATCTCTTTTTATAATGTATACGTATACTTTAAGAAGCTTCTGTATTGGTAAGTTTACATATGACTTTTCCTTAAGGGTTTTAGTGTTAGTTATCCCTCCCCTTACTCCCTCCCCTGCCACACTCCCCCATTCCCAACTCCATTTAACCCCTCCTACTCTATTATTCACCTCCCCCTTTATATTCATGCATTTTATCTTCCCTCTCATAAAGTCCCTTCCTTGAATGGGCATTTATTAGTTTCCTGATCTCTCTGGAATATATATCACATATATGTGTATATAATATAAAATATTTTTATTGAGTTTTACAATTTCATACAACAGTTCTTAATCAAATTTAGAGCCCCCCCCCAAACCTCATGTATTCCACAATTAAGTCCTATTCATTCAGGCATTTGTACCCAAATGCCCTTCAGTGTAAATGCATCCACTGGAGTCTGATCATCCCATTTAGTGATTGTATATAAGTCATGCTCTTCCCTCACCCAACAGCAATCAGCATCTAATAGTTCTCAGTCTAGGGCTAGCCTGCCACCTATTTCTCTCCTGCCCTTTGGGCCCTTGTTTAATTGAGTTCACATGGGTCCATGCCACCATTGCTGCAAGCTCACACTATGCAAGTTTCCAGTGGTCTGGAAGCCTCTGCTTCCCTGTGTTCATCA